TGGGGAACTTTAACATTTCCATGCAAGAAGAAAGAGATCGGGGGGGAGGGTGATGCTAGAAAGGGCATGACGGCGCGATATGGGAGCTCCGGAGACGATATCAACAATGAGTGAGTCGGTAAGTGTCGGTGCTTTGATAGTGGATGCGTAGGATATGAGGTAGACGATAAAGAGGAGAAAAAGAAGTTAAAATGAGGGTTTTGACTCGCGATAGGTTTAGCACACTTGGCTGCATTTTGGTGATAATTTGTTGAGCCGAACGAAAGTCAAAATGGGTTCTCTAGCTACACCGAGTGGGTCTTAGGAATCGAGCTGAGGGGAGAGTTGTTGCTGGGCTTGACCGAGGCATATAAGACTGGCTGACTTTTCTTGCGTACACGGAAGATTCAAGGTGAGGCATGCAGAGCTAAATGAGAGCTAACTCGACCGAGCGATTACCATAGGCGTTGGTATAAAGAAAGAAGGATAGTGTGTGAGAAGAGAGAAGGGGAAAGGGAGAATTTATAGATGGAGAAGAAGAAGGGTGGAGAGTGGCAGTTTCGTGGCGTTTCTTAATGATTTTTTGTTTTGGATCTGCAGCAAATAATTTGGGTTGGATTTGAAGGAGTTTTTGGTAGTGGGAACCAAAAATGCAGGTTCTGCATTTCTTTCCTTTGAGTAGTGTTTGGATGGTGAGAAAGTCTTTTTGGTTTTTAGAGAGGCTTACTAGCGAGAGGGGCAGTTGGTTTTTATGTTTGACTTTTGGCGGACTTTGAGAAGGTTAACAAGGTTTTGGGAGGGGAATCCGATTCGGTTTTTCTGAAGGGGAGTCAATGGGTTTTTCTCTTGCTGGTGTTGGGAGCAGGGTTGATGCTTGGAAAGATGGATTGCAATTTATGCTTTAGAGGGGTGATTTCCGTCACATGATATTCTGCCAAACTTTACTGGTAATTCGGTTGGGTGAAGATGTGGAGATTGACTAAGGTGTGTGAGATTATAAGATGAGGATGTTGAAGTAAGTAAAAGAGAGAGGAGAAGAAGAAAAGATGCGAAGAATATGCAGATAGAGAATGAGAAACGTGAGTTGTGTTTTGATGCTTCAAGGTATCATATTACACTCTGAATAAATATAATACGCATAAAACAGATTATGATATGCCGAATGGATGTAATATGACATGAACAGATAAACCAATGAAGAAAAGTAAAGAAAAAATTTTCTTATCATGATGGAACTTTTCAGATTAACGATGTTAGTTGAAGGGAGTTCCGTGTCTCCTCTCATGTTGCAAGTCATCATTGGAATAACAATTGTCAGAGGCCCCACGGTGGGCGCCAAACTACAAATGCAAAAAATCCACCGTCATGAAAATAAGGTCTGATCCTGTGAGGTTGAGGTCATTGACAATCCGCTAGACCTGTACACATGAAAGGACAAGCGTGAAGCTTTCAGAAAACACCGGGGTGGTGTTTGCCATAGGCACTCCGATGCTCAAGTTAGCAAAGTTGAAAGAGATTGTTTGATAAGAATTAAGGAGATGAACAATTACTAGGAGTTTTGTCAGAGGCTAGGACTACGGTGGAGGTGTCAGGTTCTTGGGAGCAAGAACTTAGGAGCAAATAAATGATTTTGAGTAGTGTAGATTGACTATAGGAGATTGCATGCCTAATAAGAGAGCAAACCTCTGTTTTTATAGTGAACCTATGGGGTTGGAATCCTAGTAGGACACTGAGTCCTCTTTTGGTAGATAATCCCTATCAAGAAAGAAATGATTTCTTGACTTTATCAGATTAAGTTTAATAGTTTGAGTAAGATTAGGAATCTCAGCAGAAGAAGAAATATAATATGATTATGATTTCCTATTTATGGACTGTTGCAAACTAATGGGTTGAAACTCAGTTTAACTTAACTTATAGGATAGCCCAACTCATAAAGTAAGTAGTTCACAAGGTGATTTTAAGCGTAGGCCCAATAGAGATTGGGTTGAGGCCTTGGACGGTGACATGTTTATTTCATTATTGGGCCTCGTCAAGCCCAAGACAATTTTTGACCCTAACATCAATCAAAATACTCTCGACAAATTTTATATGTATTATGATTAAGATATAAATTTAAGATTTCAAGAGTGTTTGATCATGCATTTCAAAGCCTAATAATTTTGTATTCATGGTATTAAAAATTGTAGAATGTGAATAGAATACTGTAACTCATTTTTTTTAAAAAAAAAAAAAAAAGATATTATGATTTATGAGTGAAAACATAGGATGAATTATATTCAAAATAGGAAGAAAAAAAAAAGCCAATTATATTAATTTACCAGGAAAGAATTAAAGTTGTGCTTTCTTAGGAAACTTATTAGTTATTATACCGTATGTCCTGAAGACATTTTCAACATCGACCGATTACATATTCAATTGTACTTCGTTACACATTGATGTCGAATTTAATAAGTAAGTATTATATCTCTTATTATAATATTTTTAAATAACTTTTTATATGATTCAAACTCTTTATTATAAAGAGTTTATCCATAAAAATAAGAATCTAACAAACTTTTTATTCTTTAAATATAAATTAAAAAGTGAGTTTGACTGTTCACGTCTAGAGAGTCAAATTTCACTCTCTATCTTAATTTTAATTAATAAATTATAAGTTTTTATACATTTTATTTATTAATTCTCTCTCCTACTAAGTCTCTTTCTATGCATTGATTCTCTACATCTAGAGAGTTTATTGGATTTGAATAAAATTTTATTTTTTATATTTAGAAATTAATGAAAATATTTTTTATTTATACGAAAATACTTTTTAAATATGAGATATTCTTAGAAGTGTAATTGTTTATAGAGTTAATGACTTCACTTTATGATTTAATAACAAGATTTCTCTAAGGATTCTGAAATAAACAGTATGAAATTTTAGGTGTCAAAATAAACGGTGCAAGGATAATTTGATAAATATTCATTAACTCTAATTTTATATTATAAACAACATACACAAATGTGGCTTCAGACTCAAATTATGTTTGATGAACTTGAAATGAAGATCAACTGATGAAGACAACAATTTAGATCAGTGAATTTTTTAGAGATATTTATTTCTAATTAGTATTCTTTATTATTATCTTTTTTTTTTTNAACAAACCTCTTTTTCTTGAATCTTGACGCAAAGGGCACAAAGAAAGAAGAGGCGAAGAGGCGAAGAGCCACCGATGAATTGTGAAGGTCGGAATCGGCGAAGAGGCAATGCTATTCCGATGAAGAGGTGGACCAGGCGGCAGTGTTTTAACTAGATAAGGGATTTAGGGTTTCAACTTTCAAACTTTGAATCCATTATTCCATCGTGAGTTGATTTGAGTTGTGGATCGAGTTGGGCATAATTTGTTTTATAAATGAAGGGCAAAACTGTTATTATAAAAATATAACAAGGGCAAATGGTAATTACATAATGGAAGTATGGAATTGAAAATTTGAAATAATGATTTAATCATTTAATTTAAATGAAGGACAAGGTCCACAAGGACTTTATTTATAATGATTTATGGATTTATTATAATCAATGGCGGATCCATAAATTTCTGTTAGGGTGGGCCAAAATAAAAACTAATTATACATTAATATTTTTGTCCATTAATATTTCTGCTAGGGTAGGCCAAAATCTAAAAATTGTACACATTAGTATTTTTTTTGTTAAAATGTCCACCCTCAACAAGTAATGGGCCTGCCCCTGATTAATGATTATAATGAATCAAATTATCAAAATGATAATTATGATACATTATGCATATATATATAAATATATTATATATTAACAATACAATATTATGTATTATTGTATTAAGTAATAAGTATTAACATATAATATTATGATTAGGGATAGTTGCATATTATGTATAATGTATAATGTATAATATATAATGTATTATAATAAATTATAAATAAACTATACCATATATATTATAATGTCTCATTAACACACACACACACACACACACACACACACACACACACAACAATAGAAAAATATATATATATATATATTATTATATTAACTTTTGTTTTATCTCACATGAAAGAGATAGACTTCAACTTTTCACTTGAAGTTATAAATAAAGTCTTATTTTATCTTTTGTAAACATCTTTGAATATTATTAAATATATCTTGAGTTAAACATTTGATTTCTCTTTCTCTTTGAAATTATAGTTATCTTTGGCTTAGCCAACCAAAGTGGCATTTTGACTAATCTTGTCATTGTGGGGTTTAATCTAACCTCACCACAATTGACATCTATAGTGAGGTTTCCAACTTCGTCAAGATTGGGGTTTTTCATGACGTCCTGACGTCATGCGTATTATATGTATTCGAATAATAATAACAAATGGTGCGTTTGATTTATTATTTTGGATAAGATTTTAGGAATAATATTGGGTAGTTAAATAGGGAAGTATTACGAGGTAAAATTTAAAAATTTATAAAAAAAAGCCCTTAGGTTTACAAATTTAATTAAACACCCTAATATATAAAATGACAAAAATACCCCTACCACCTGCAGTGCCAGATTCCGGCCACCATCGTCGGAATCTGGCCGAAAAATCGCGTTACGACACAGACCGGTTGGATTTGTGTCGTAACGCGTCGTTATGGCTTTTTCCGGCCAGATCCACCACGGATCTGGTCGAAAAAGGCCAGATCTACGGCCTGCTATGGTTGCGACGGTCAGAAAAGGCCAAAACGAGGTCGTCATCTTGGCCATTATTGACCGATAACGACGGCCATTTCTTTGCGACGACCAGAAGCTAGATCGGTGAATTACCAACCATTTCCGATCGGTAATTCACTGTTGTGGTAGATTCCGACTACCACCGACGGTGGTTGTCGGAATCTGACAAGTATGGGTCACAGGGATGTTTTTGTTAATTTTTAAACTTTTTTTCAGGGGGTATTTAATGAAATTAATAATCTTGTGGGGACTAAAAGTAATTAAAAAAATAAGGTAATATTTCTGGAATAATGTGCTAAATATTATTTGGAGAATAGGATTGAGAATATGGACATAAATTTATCAAGAACGTGGTGTATCTACACTCAAGACCACTATAGAGAAGCCTACAATCAAGAATTATCTCAGGGCAAAATCACCAGTAATCCCCACAAGAGCAGACCCCGTTCTTAAAATGGTGGAACCGGTGCATATCGCGCACTATTATATATCGTCCAGTTACAAGTGAAATGTACTTGGTTGCATTGTGACAGTCCCCACAAACTCGCAAATTTTTCCTAATGTGTATCGTTGAACCTGGTTTGGTATTTAGAAGTCCGAATGCAATAGCCAGCTTCTCACTGTGGCTACTGAGCAACTGCTCCTGAACATCGTTTTCCACATCATGAATTGAGTTGGTATCAGGCACATAACCGGCTGCTTTGATTTCATCTACGAGTGTCTCAAGGAAAGCGTATATTCTTTTTGATTCGGGATGACTTGTGCTACCAGAATAGAAACTGTGAACCTCATTTCTCAATTCAACTAAACTGCAGCCTGGAGTTTTCTGAAGCCCTTGCTTCTCCATGACAGTTCTCACTTTGGCCACTTTGTCCCACATTGAAGCTGCAGCGTATATGTTAGCCAGCAATACATGGTACCCACCCTCGTCGGGGTTCAATTCAAACAGTCTGTCTGCTGCCTGTTCACCTAACTCAACATTTTTATGAATCTTGCAAGCACCCAACATTGCACCATACACAGTAATACCTGGCTCAAATGGCATCTTTTGAATGAAATCCCAAGCCTCGTTAAGTCTGCCAGCTCGACCAAGAAGATCAACCATGGCACCATAGTGATCCATTGCAGGCTCTATGCCATAATCTTCCTTCATGCTGGTAAAGTAGCTAAGTCCCTCCTCAACCAAACCAGAGTGGCTGCAAGCCGAGATGACACATAGAAATGTAACATCATTGGGTTTGATGACACCCTTTCGCATTTCATTGAAAAGTTCTGCAGCCTCTTTTCCAAGTCCATTAGTGCCATATCCATCTATCATGGCGTTCCATGTCGTTACATGCCTTTGACTCATCATGTCAAAAAGCTTTCTTGCAGTGCCAATTGCTCCACATTTTGCATACATGTCAACAAGAGCAGTTGTCACAAAAACATTCTTGTCAAAACAACTTCTTATAACAAGTCCGTGAATCCATTTTGCATGGCGTGTAATTGATAGCTCTGCCAGAGCTGGGATTACACTCACCATCGTAAATGAATCTGGTTTTACATTGTGTGATTGCATCTCACAGAAGTAATTTAAAGCCTCATTTACACGACCATTTTGCGCATAACCTAATATAATAGCATTCCAAGAGACCAGTGTTTTACCCTTCAATTTTCTAAATATATCAGCAGCTATATCAACTCTCTTAGACTTGGAGTACATTGAAATCAAGGAATTCATCACAGAAACATCTGTTCCAAGTTTGAACTGATCTAACAACTTATGAACAAACATTCCTCGCTCCAAATCACCCAAATCGGCACAAGCATGTAGGGCTTCCATTATAGTAACATTAGTTGGTTCGACTCCTTCATCCAACATCTTCAGAAAAATTACCATCGCTTCTTCCGCATTTCCACCTTCTATATACCCAGAAATCATCGAATTCCACGAAACAACATTCCTACTCTTCATCCCATCAAAAATCAATCGCGCAGTCCCAACACACCCACATTTTGAATACATATCAACCAATGCAGTAGCAACATTCACAAGCGACTCAAACCCAGCCCTCACAGCATACCCATGAACAGCCTTCCCAATTCTCAAAGCCCCCATATTCGCAACAGCGGGCAAAATTGACACAATCGTTACCAAATCACCTCTTCGACCTTCCTCATTCATCCGAACGACCAACTCCAACGCCTTCCCCGCCAACCCATTTTGCGCATACCCAGAAATAATCGTATTCCAAGACACCAAATCTCTCTCAGGCATTCTATCAAACATCTTATACGCTTCATAAATCCGCCCACATTTCGCATACATATTAACAACCCCAGTCATAGCAAACAAATTCTCCGAAAACCCATTAACAATCAACTGCCCATGAATCTCCTTCCCCCTCCGAATCTCTCCCTTATCGCCACACACCTTCAACAAATAAGTAAAGTTATACACAACAGGCTCAACATTATCTTCCCTCATCCTCACAAAAAACGCTACAGCCTCATCCAAAGATGAAAACTTTGCATACCCTTTAAGCAAAGTGTGATAAAGGGCATCCAATTTACACGGAATGGGTTCAAAAGCGCGGGCGGCTTCGGTGAGGCTATTGTAGTTGCAGAACAAGCTAACGAGCTTGGTCTGGAACAAGTGCTCTTTGTAGAGGCCGTTTTTGAGGATGAGAGGGAGGATTTGGCGGAGCTCTATTGGGGAAGTGCAGAGCTCGAGGAGGAGAGCGGCCGGGTGAGTGTAGACGTGAGAGGGAATGTGGGTTCTTTGGGAAAGAGTGTGGGGAATTGGTGGCGGCGAGTTTGTGGGCCGTGGTGGTGAGAAGACTGAGAGCTGTGAGCTCAACATCTCTGTGGAGAGCTACTCCTCTCTACACTGTAGAGTTCACGAAATTTTTTGAGATTTAATGGAGTAACGAACTTAACGACTACAACAAGGGAGTGGCTACAGTACCGGGACGGTAATCTTACTGGGCTAATTGGAGTGATTTTAAATTTTTTATTTATCCTATATAATCATATTCGTATCATCGTATTTTCTTTTCTTAATTTTTTAAGGAAATCTAGAAAATGGTGTGATTATTTACACCCATAAGCCATTTTTTTTTTAAAAGTGTATATTCAAAAAAAAATATTAGTAATAAAATCGATAAATTAATAATTAACTGAACAAAAAACACAATAAAAAGTATAAGGGTGAATAGTTTCGGGTATCCGTCGGAATTGTTAGGAACCGGAACTGGAACCTAAAATGCAAGTTTCGATTCCTTTCCGAGGTACCTTGTAAAATTAATTACCCCCTATTAATTAAAAAAATTATATACACCCCTAATAGTTCATAAAGTTCACACATTCACCCTCGTTTCCTAAACCAGTTCTCAGTAGGGTACCCGAATGTAGGTTCTGATTCTGGTTCCCGGTTCTTACACTGTAGGAATTGTAACCAAAATGGGGAGTTCTAGATTCCAAATTTCTAGAATTGAAACCTACCCTATGAGGGTCAGTTTCAATTCCTACCCAGAATTAGCAATCCGAGCACCTGCCAGTTTCGAGTCTACCCTTTACCTATGATTACCCCTAATAAAAACCAATAAATTTGTTAAAATGTGATTTAAAAAAATATTCCCTAGATTTTAGTATGATGTATATTTAGCAAAATAAGTTGTAGAGCATATTTTTGAATGTAAATAGCCACTGTCTAAAATATTATGTCTATGTTAATTAAAAAAAAAAAAAATGGTTATGTGGACAAAAGTATCATACAATAACATTATCAATGNCTTTTCTTCCATGAACTCAGCCCTTCCAGAATCAGCATACTGATATTCCATACTTTTGGGCATATAGTTTTGATTCCATACTTCTTACAAAATGGAAGCCAAGACCTTGCAACCTTAAAAGCTTCCTTCATGCCAGTCAAAGTTATTGAAGCACCTCCATCGTCTGAAAGATAAACATGCAGTTTCTCGGGTGGATAATCAAGCGCCATAGCTGATAAAATAGTATTCGCCAAACCCTTTTATCTCCCTATCTTCATCACGTTACTTCACGTGCTGAAGACTTTGAGCGTGTCTCTCGTGAGAGAAGACTCATTACTAACAATGGCCATGCCCCGTACGAGTCAGGGTGGGTTTCTGTTCCATTTCGTCACCCTTATACTTTGCAAACCTTAGCACTTGAACCTGAACTCAAGAAGCAGATAATGGACGATCGCTTTCTAATGGCAAAGAGTTTTACCACAGAGTTGGACGCCCTTGGAAACGTGGTTATTTGCTTTATAAGGTGCCAGGATCTAGAAAATTAAACTACCTTTGCTATGACGTATATGATCTTGAGCTCACCAAAGTTACAGACAATTCAGAGCTGAGAGCATTGCTTATACAAACTACAAACCGTTCAATCATTGTAATCGAGGATATAGACTGGTTGGTTGATCTAAGAGCGGACAGAATGTCAAAGAAAAGATCAAATTCACACCCGTCAAAAAAGCACATGGAGTCGCTATATGACGATGGAGAAGAGAATGGAAGGGTTCACTTTCAGGGTTGTTAAATTTCACTGATGGTCTATGGTCATGCTGTGGAGAAGAGAAGATAATAATATTCACCACAAATCATAAACAGAATGCGGATCCGGCGCTAGTTAGTTTTGGCTTCCTGGCAGAGAAAAGAAGCTCTATAGTAAACCAAGAAAGCTATATCCATTTGCGGAGTTTTTTTATTTTTTTTTTATTTTCATATTTTGGTTAAGAATGGACGTCCCTTATTTGCGGGCGTCCGTCCAAAATTAATGGACGGCTGTCTCTAAATGTTTTTTAATTTTTTAAAAAAAAATTGTTAATGGACAGGCATCCATTAAAATATAAACGCCCGTCAATATTTAGGGACACCAATCCATAACCTATGAACGGCCGTCCCTAATTTTTATAAAAACATTTTATTCTATTTTACTTATGGAAGAGGGTCCTTTAAATGGGGATACCCGTCCATAGTAAATGGACCCCCGTTCGTATAATATGGACGGGAGTCCATGTAAGTGAACGATCATCTATATTTGATGGACGACCGTTCACTAGAAAAATATTTAATAACGCGTCTGAATTGCTGGTGTGAGTCAGGGGACACGTAGGCCGGTACACATTTTCGGTGCAAAAATGCCAGTGTCCGTAGCTTTATTGTATCTTTTGTTCCTTTGTTTTGTATTTTTTGATTAATTATTTTTTTATTTTATGGCTTAATCAAATGTTAATTATCTTGATTTAATGGAAATTATTTATAAGGTAGCTGAAATTAATTATATTACTAATTAATTATCTTGACTTAAGTTTTGGTTGACTTTAGCTTAGCTATGTGTGATCAAACTCATGAAAATTTATATTATAATCTTTAAAAGCTAAAAAAAAAAAATAGTTTTGCTTAAGGTTTACTCAACACATTTACTCAAAATTTTGCTTCTCATAAATTTATTCAAGCAGAAAAGTATTATGTTATTGTATTCTTTTCTCTCATGTTCTTGATATTGTATTATTTATTATTATTATTATTATTTTGCTTAAAGTTTGGTATTTTTTTAAAGATTTCACTAGTTGTTTGACAAATGATGGAGCCGTGAAGACACCCTCGCCCAACCCCCCCCCCACACAAAAATCCTAGATCCGTCACAGGTTTGGGTTTGTGGACCTATTGGGATATTTGGTTTATTTGGGTCCATTTGTGTATTAGGGCTTATTTGGGCTTTTGGGTTGAGCTGAGTGTTGAGTGGGTTGGTTGAGTCTAGGCCTGTAGTTGGTGTGCTGGGTTCCATTTTTGGTTTGGCAAAGAAGAGGAACAAAGCCGGATTTCTGTTTTGCAGGTGAAGCAACAAAAGTGGACGAGATTGGACTAAGGAGAGTTGAGCAATGAGGAAAGATTTGCTAGAATACCTACTCTGATGCCATGTTACAATCTGAAGAAGAAGTGGCAAAAGTAGTAGTGAGACTATCTAAGACTGCCAGGAAGAAATAACAGAGGCAAGAGTAGCAACAAGTTGTAGAAAATGCCTAAGAGAAATAAAGCAATGTAAATGGAGAACAATTTCTGTAAAAGTGCTTCTGTTGTATTTTCATTGTATCAATGTTATAATTTATACATGAAGAATGCGATCTGTAAGGATACAAATAATTACACAATCAACACATAAATGGAAACAATATTTTGTTACTAATATTCTGATCTTGATCACACTAAATCCTGATGCTGATTCAGAATTCCATCATTTACCAAACAAAATCACTTTCTTTTTTTCTATTTTATTTTCTTGCCAAAATAAGTTTTTATTATTATTATTATTTTACAAAATAAGATATTTTGCACACTTGTACATGGCTCGAAGGCTGTGTAAAGACAGCCAAAAAAAAAAAAAACCTTTGAAACTTCCAACAAACAAAACAAAGAATACCAAACCACCTTACAAGCCTTTGATACCTCCCGACATTCAGATCCCCCACCAAACAATGTCAAATAAAGCCATACCTTGAGGGCACGAGTTCAAGATTTGACACAAAGAAGCAGAAGAAAAAAAAATACCCACATCATACCTATCAAGCAATAGTCAAAATCATGGCTGCCGAAACCTTCAAAAATCAAATAAGAAAAAAAAAAAAAATTCCACAAATGGCTATCGAATTATAAAATTGTTCCAAAATCATGGCTGCCGATATATTCCAAAAAGTCATCCAAAGAATTTTCCCAAAAATAAATTAAAAAATGGTTCTTTAAATTTCATTCGGGGTAGAATTATTGCATTGGTGGAGCCAAATATTCCAACAAAAGTTGCAGGCAGTATTCTAAAAAAGTGAATTAAAATGGTGAGGGGAATAGAATTTGGTTCTTTAACTTTCATTTGGGGTATAATTATTGCATTGGTGGAGCCAAATATTCTAACAAAAGTCGCAGACAGTATTCTTAATTATCTTGTGAATAAAATAAAGTGCTAACTTTATTAAAGAGAATTCTTTGTAAAAGTTTAATCGGTTGCTTTCTTTTTTGCAAGCTTTCCAACAATCACTATGTGAAAGCATTTATTTATTATTTTTTTATATAATATATAACTTTAAATCAAGCAAATATTATTAGTAAATATCAATATAAATAGAACATATATTTTTTGTTTGTTTTTATTTTTTTTATTTTATACATTTGTATTTTTAACATAGATAAAGTGATTTGAAAGAAAAAACTCGATTCTTAAATAATAAACTCAGTATTTTGTAATTCTCGTATCTATAATTATCAATCATCATAATAAGATAATATACAAGATGGTCTAGTATTATATATATATAGATATATGTTAATGTCACTATTATTCTAAGATTTTATGATATAATATTCTTTAAAAATATTCATTAGATATATTAATAAACATAAAGAAGAAAAATATTATTTATTATCATTAATATGAGTGAGTTTATTTAGAATTGCTACGCATACATGCATACACATACTAGATACGTCATTAGTTGTCTTCACTATATAAATATTCTTCAAGGATTTTAAACCACACAAATACACAGCCAAAGATATTTTTTTCGCGCATTGTTCATTTGCATTGTTCAGGGGTATTATAAATCACTAAAGGCAAATTAATTTTGTGAATCATTCTCGCAAAAAAAAAAATGGAAAGAAGAATCAATGAAGCAGCAGTAGAGGGGAATATAATTTCCTTGCTTAATTTGCTTCAAGAGGATGCTCTAATTCTTGATAGAATTACTGTGAGCTGTTACGGAGAGACACCTTTGCACATAGCTTCCATGCTTGGCCATGCAGAATTTGTGCAGGAACTTCTTGGTCGAAAGCCTGAGCTTGCCGGAGAGCTTGATTCCCGTAAATCATCACC